ATGTGTGCGTTTATATATATATATATATATATATATATATATATATATATATATATAACATATATATATATAACAGTTTTTGATGAAGTCTTGTAGGGAACCATCATCATCTTCAGACTCAGTGTAACAGACACGTGACAACAGGTGAGATGTGTATCCTGTCAGATGTCTTTGTCGTCTGTTCCCTGAGGTGACAACACCTGTGAGTTCAGATCTTCCTCACTGTTCACTCTCACGCCAACACTGCCAAAAAGGGACACTAGTATTATTCACAGGGTAGAGTTGCTCTTAGAAACATTGCTAAATACTGAAGTCATGCCCATGCGTTAATAAATCTCATCCACCATGTGGCAGCTTTTGAATATGCATTTAAGTTAGCATCATATAAAGACAGTATAGGAGAAAGACTACTTGTAGACTGTTCATTATTGATTAGTAATTAAAATATTCCAAAAAATAATATATTTTGTGTTATTTTGTAACCATATTTAACATGATATTTTTACACTATCTGGCCAACTTGTATATCCATTTATGAATATCCATGCCAACGACGGTTAAGGATGCACAATATTAAGTTCCGGCCGTTACAACAGGCCAATAATTATTTTCATGTTACAGCTGATAAACGATTAAAAGCTGATTATAAAATTGTATATTACATTATTAAAATACAAAAAAAAACACTACAAGCTGAAAATCTCTTTAAGGTAACAATTATATGGTATCACTTTTTATAGTTTATGAAAATGGATTCATATAGACTCATGAAGACAGATTCATTTTGAAATTTGCTAAAGATTGCTACATTTAACAGTGTTACCTTTAAGTGAGCAATAAATGACGAGAAGCTAATCTCATTGTACAGACGATTGACAAAACGCACTTTTATTTACAGAAACCAATCACCTTTTAGCTATATATACTGTATGTTTATTGCAAAAAGTCTTAAAATATATACGGCTGCATTTGAAAGGTCGACAATGAGGGGGAAAAAGTCCTGCACAGTGTGTAACTACAGCCTTTACCAGCAGGAGCCAATGGGCCATGCTAACTGATATACATCCTAATATTGAAAACCTATGGGGTACAAATGAAATAAAAAGTGAAAGAAGAAAACATCTCATCGGTTTAGTGGTCTGTTTGTTGCAGGTGATCCTGATCATCTCGGAGCAGGTTTTTGTGTGCCTGTGGCGGTTGCTGGTGTGTTCTTAAAGCAGCCAGGAGCTAAATGAGCAGCGCAGCAGCACCTGAGGCCTGGGGGCTGCGAGTCTGGAGTCTGCTGCTTCCTTCCTGCCAGTAGGACAGGAATGAGCTCATCACTGCTCTCCCCTGCTGTTAGCAGCCTGGAGAGCCCATCCACTCAGTCAGAGAGTCAGGAGGCTCAGCCATATTGCACGCACACACATGAATTGCTTTCCACCATGCTTCAAACATTGTCAGACTCCTTCCCTGAAATGAGGGAATTGTCATGATTCCTGAGAGTGTACGCACTGTCCCAGCGGTCTCTTCTTTGTGATCAGTAACTGGAATGCACATGTTCAACAATAATAGCTAACTAGAGCACACTGTTCATTAACCAGTTGGTTAGGACCAAATTAATAAGTAATACTTAAGTGAAAGAGATCAGATCAGATCACAACTAAAACAATGGATACACTGGGGGGGAAAATGAGGTATAAGATTTCCTTTGAAACTATTTTCACTCAGAAATTGCTAGTAAATTTCACAAATAATTACAAAGAAATGACAAGTAACACACTGAATTAAACAGGAAATTTTGAAGTAGAAAGACAGAAATAATATTTTCTTGTGAAACATACTTCAATAGTACTCTTTTTTAGTTACAGTTTCGAAAAATTGTTTTTACAGTGTCCCTATACATTACAGAAAAATGTTTTCTGGTGCCAAAATTTATGCCAAAAAAATTCTTTTTAAATTAAATATTAAATAAATATTGATAGAGCAGGACATTCTCGAGACATTTTGTTTTGGTCTCTACTTTCTCTGACTTCCTAAGTCAGAAAGACAGTCATAAACATACATTTATTTTGTCTCAAAACATATTATAGCACTGGAATTCTTATTAACGACTGTATATAAATTATATATATATATAAACATTTAAGAACAAATGAGCTATGGACTATGGAAATTTTGCAGCAAAATAAAATTAAATAATTAATTACATAAAAAAATAAAATTATTTGTTTATTTTTATTGCCATACCAGCACCTATGGCTATATTCTTATCGATTCCCAGTTTCGAATGTGATTAAATAATGATATCAAACATTTATCCTGTCTCTTTTTTGCAAACCATTTATTGGGGCTGAATACCAAGAACAAAAATCAACAGGATACATAAAAACTGGACTCTTTAAGAGCTGTTTGTGTGCAAAATAGAACTGCATGATTCTGGATAAATTGAGTTTTGTTTTTTTTTTTCCCCAATGGAAGTTGTGGTTCTCTCATGATTCTGAAGAAAAAACATTAGACAACGTCACAAAATCACATGTAATTTATGAGTTAAAGATTAAATGACTCACTCAAGATGTACTTGTTTCATTACTGGATGAATCAGCGTTCTTGAACGAACCTCTTGTATGATTCAAAGACAAATACATTTTAACAGCCCCTTTTCGCCACCTACTGGTGTAACAATGTAATCGATAAATCTTCATTTGAAGTGTCAAATTACTTTCAAAAGGTGATTTACTGTATTTTAATCGCTAACATACACATACACATCGTACAAACAGTTTATATCTGAACTATAAACTTTTATCCCAGTACTTCTGTGATTTGAACGTTTGTAACAGAAATAATGATACTGTGTGGTTGAAAGACTGTGAAGCTGTTTCATTCATGACGGACAGCTGCTCTCTTTAGGTCAATGGCAGCGCGAACGCAAATTTAAAAACAATCCGTCCCCTCAGTTTATAAACCGTACTCACGAATTCTTAAACTGTTCCCTCGGTTTAACAAATCGTGCCCACTGATTAATAAACCGTACTCACGAATTTCCAATCCGTGCGCTCAGATTTTGTAAACCGTACCTTCGGTTTTTGAATCCATACCCACAAATTCATAATCCATGCGCACGCTTTCGCAATCCGTTCCCTCGGGTTTGTAAACTTGTGGATTTGTGGCCCCGCCCCCACCGGCAGATTCAACTTTTTCTGGCTGTTACGAATGGATTCGTGTGTTGCTAGGGAAACGGCATATCACTCGTTCGTGTGCGCGTGCATGGGTCTTCCCCTGTGTTTCTCTGTCTCTCCCTCTTTCGCTCTAATTGATTACAGGTGGAGCTGATTAGGAGGACTGAACTGGTTGGAGACAGGAAGGATTGCCGCAGTACTTCAGCCATCCGGTGGAAGGAGTCGTTGGCTCCCCGCTCTCTTGGTGGCTACTGGTGTACCCGCTGTGTGACGTGTGTTGGCGAAAGGGCTCGCTAATTTAGACATTTGTTGTCAACCACTGAATTGAGTAACAGTTTAGTTGTATTTTATGTTTGTTATGTTCGGTCGCTTACTTCTTGGACCTTGTTTAAGTGGAGCTTGGTAGGGAGGTGGGTGCCTGTTTGTTTACTTTGTTTTCTCCTGTTTATGTTAGCAGGGAGGTAAGAACTTGTATTTTATTTGTTATCTGATTTCTAGGTTAGTTTGTTTAGTAGTAGTTTTGTTTATTGTAATTTACTTTGGCAAATTGCCCCTCCCGAAGTTTATGATGCTCCTTTGTTTCTTTTGTTAATAAACTTACTTTTATTTGCACTTACATAAGTGTTTTGTGGTTGACAAATTGAGAGAATGAGAGCGGGGACCCCAGGGATCTTTCCTAGATGGATCCCTGTTAACTGTTATGGACCAATTTATTGCTCTTTGAGTAGGGATTTAACTCGCCGTTCGTAACATGAGCCCCACTCACAAAATAGGCCTAGTCTTCTTAGCGTTTATTTTATATGAATCACCAATAGGATAAAACACCTCCGCCTGTGCTTTATAGCCTAAAATAAACGCTAAAAATAATAGAAAATTTCCTGAATTTTCTAAAAAAAATTTAAATAAAACGATAGAGTTTCGAGAATACGCAGAAATTTACTTCGGCGTGCAAAAGACTGATAAATTCATAATGGCATGACTGGTTCAGTCGACAGAAATACGGGGACACACGGGCCTATAATTTACTGCTGAAATGTTTGCGGGGGAAAATCTCCGGTCAGTCTGAGCACTCGTGTTACGCACAGTGTGTAGCCGTACACCTGCAGGCGCCACTGCATTTAGGTTAGGCCTACATATGCATTTAGAAGAAGCTTTTATCCAAAACGACTTACAAAAGAGGAACAAATGACTCCAAAGTCAGTCACAATGCCAGGTTTATTATACAATAATAATCAAGTGCTAAGATTATCACAAATTAAACAAGATTTTGATGCACATCTTTCTTATTAAATCGTTGTAGTCCACCTTGTACCGTTACAACTGATAGATAATCACTTAAGACAATTTGCTGTAGGCCTATTCCACATAATAATATGCAATAAAACAATATACAATATGATTTGTTAACATGTAGGCTACCTAGGAGCTTGCTGCATGAATCCGTGAGTACAGTTTACAAACCCCTGGGAATGGATTGCGAAAGCGTGCGCACGGATTATGAATTTGTGGGTACGGGTTCAAAAACCGAGGGTACGGTTTACAAAATCTGAGCACACGGATTGGAAATTCGTGAGTACGGTTTATTAATCCGTGGGCACGATTTGTTAAACCGAGGGAACAGTTTAAGAATTCGTGAGTACGGTTAATAAACTGAGGGGACGGATTGCAAAACCGTCGCCACCGATTGTTTTTTTTTTTCTCCTACAGGTGACTTCCCGAATCCCATTCTGGAATTGGAATCGATTTTCGATTCCCAACCCTATAGGCAAGATCAATGTATTTTAGAAGAAACAAATAGAAGTATCATACACAGTAATGAAAAACAACAACTGACATATTAAAGGGGGCATAACACACACAGTTTCACCCAATCTCATGTTAATGTTGAGTACCTATAGAGTTGTACTGCATCCTTCATATCTCCAAAAAGTCTTAGTTTTATCATATTTATAAAAGAAAGATACAGCTTTATGATTCTCTCCGGAAAAAGACGAGCACTTGGGCGCCGAATGCCAACAAAACAGAGATTTGATGCAGTTTCACTTACCGTCTGCAGTTCTGAATCATGACCGGGATCTTTTATAGCTGGGACCGCTCCATCTTTCAGTATCAAACGATGTGCAAATCCAGCCTCGAACTGGGCCTTGTTTATAAAACGCTCGTCAACAAACACACTTGTGAAACTCCCTTGTTGCTCCGAAAAAAAAAACTGTATCCACTGTTCATATAACGCTGGGTTCTTTAGGAAGCTGAACAAAGTTATATTTCCCTTACAACCAAAAACACACTTCTTTGGATTGGAGACATTCTTCCCGAGCAAGACCCGTGCATCGCTGCCGCCGGATGAAGCGCGTTGATGGGCGCGATCTCGCTCTTGCTCTGGTCGATGCGTGCGCGGGCGCGTTCTTCCGGGAGAAATGCCCATATATGGAGTTCCACTCTCATTTACGTCATGAAGAGCCACGATCGAAAAAAACTCTCCGAAACTTGTACAAACCCGGAAGTAAGATTTTTGACACAGAAATACTCAGTCATACGTCCAAATAGTTTTTTGAAGCTTTGTCCATGCTTAGCATGAGAATCCAACTCTTTAACCGTGTAAACAACTCTGAATGCATGAAACAGCATTGTACCCCCCCCCCCGAAATAAATAAATAAATAAAATAGCCTTTAAAATGGCCTTTTTCTTGTTGTACCCTATAAATCCAAGCAGGACAATGATTTCTCGACTGCAGAACTTGTTTGTCCTTTACTGTCTAGTGAGCTACTTAATTATAGCAGAACTCTTTCAAATTCTGGGTTACTGGGCAAAATTTTCAGTATCCTTATCACCTTGAAACATGAACAATCTGGGAGACGCTAAGCTCCCATAACATATTTTCATTTGTGTTGGTCTTCTGGTGGGACACCAGGGTTATTAATTTCATTTGGGCTTCATTAAACCACATTCTGCAACTGGCCTCTTCCGTCTTTAATCATCATTTCTCCCCTTTGCCAGCGTGGCCTCCAGTGGCTTGGAGTGGAGGGTCACAATGTGTTCCCCCATCATATCCGCAAAATGGATGACAATAAAAGATCATTCATCTCAATCACTCACTGTTGGACCAGAGTCATCCAAATCCCTGCTGTAATTCATCCAAACTGGAGAGCAAATCGCCGTCTTACTGACATATCAAGGGATAATAAGACAACAAATAGGTACATAAGAGATTTTGAAAACACTTATTACAGAATAAAAATTAATGTGTTAGCAAATATAAAGACTGAAATATTACGGGAGCATTATGAGTGCATTCTAGTTTAGAGGCAACTTCAAGGACATTAAGCAATATAAACTTCAAGAAAGGGCTTGATAGACTGAATGAGGGATGATAAATGAATAGCCTTCATATGATAGAAATATTAAAGAAAGAAAGGGCATCTAGAGGAGCATAGAAAATAAAAAGAAGCAACCATGTAAATGAAAGTTTTGAGACTACATTAAGTTTTTAAAGATGGTTATGAACTCAAGGTTCATCAGGGCAGCTTCCAGCACAATACCTAACTAAAAGCTTTCCCATTATAATGAACTTGAAGCCAGTAAATACATGTTTACTTGATTTGACAAAAAAACAATGTGCTGGTAAATATGACTGACAGACCAGCAAAAAGAGTGATCAGTTTTTGGAAAGAGAGATGATGATTCACACTTAGCTTTGCAATCATGGCAAAATATTAAATTTACTAGTAACAGATACTATGATAAAACAGTTTTAACTAACTAATTATCCAGGACTGTCACAAAACAAAACTGTTACTAAAGAACTGTTTTTAACTTTAACGTATTTGTTACCACTGTCACAAAAGCAAAGCAAAACAAAACAAAAATAAAATAAAATAAAACCTTTACAAGGACAAAGCTGTTTTATCTTGGTAAACTAAAAAAACAAAAAGCCAAGTAAAAAGCACAACAAAACTGCTAGTATAATAAACTAGATTTTAATTTAGTAACCTCTGTCACGAAAACAACAATTTACTATGACAAAACTGTTTTAGCTTTGTAGTATTAGCCACCACGTCACGTCACAAAACAAAAACTAAAAGCAAAAATCACAACAAAACAAAACTGCTAGTATAATTTTAACTTTGTATAGCCATGACTGTCATAAAAAAGACAAAACAGCACAATAAAACTAAACTGTTTTGTTACTATTGTTGCTTTGTTACTATAAAACTGTTTAACTTTGTATTAACAAACCACTACAAAACAAACATTTTCCATTTAAAAATTTTAAAATCAGACTTTCTGAAAACTTCCCATATTTATTGTGATTTTTCAATTGTAACAGCAACTGTACAGCAGCCATGGAATTTTGGTAAGGGGCCTAAACCTCAGTATCTTTGGCTGTCCACTCTCAAGACTTATGCTCATGGGCTAACATTAATGTCGACCCACACAAACAACCTCTACATTCTAAACCATTAAAACCCTAATTTTATTCAATTGACTTAAATAAGAGTTTAACTCTGCGGAATGACGGCAGGTCGGCTCTCCCTGCAGGAGAGCACAATAACCTCGCAGAAGCGCAGCCAAAAGCTCTTAGTGCTGTGACAGAGCAGATGCCTTTAGTAATGACAGTGGGGATTATCCAATAATTGTGGATGCGTAAATCATTTCGGTTGGGCCGCCATGATTAGGAGAGCGAGCGAACAGTTACTTAAAATAAAGAACATATTTAAATGTGTTCTTCAAGGGAAACAAGCTTTAAATTAAGCTGGCGCACGTATGTCAGACAGCGCCTGTGCTCATTATATCCTTGTAAAGAGCAGAATATGGTTAAAATCGTTTTTGAAAGGCAAGACATTGCCCAAGGGGAAGGAAGGATGATATCTTTGTATTCCAAGCCATGGTGGCACGTTTATCTGTAATAGATCAAGCAAAACGGAGGCAATGACAGTCTCTTATACTCACCTTGTGCTTCCTTTCTTCCATTTTCTCATCCTAGGCAACATTTTCACATTGCCTTCCACCAGGAGCTCACATTGTTGTCTTCTAATCACATTGCTCACACTCTCTCGCTGCCTGCCTTAATTGTTTAATAAATTTTATTAAGTTAAGCATGAATTATTGTTAGTTGAACTAAAAAGTAATTTTCTTAATTGAAATGAAGTGGGGGAGGGAGGCATATTAACAAGGTTAAAGCAGGATGCTTGCCTCAATGCCGCGAGATTTGTAATGTAATTTTATGTCAATTGTTTTTACTTAGTTCTACATTCATATACTTCACAGTTTTCCAGCTTTTTTACTCAAAGTCTCAGTATGCCATAACAGAAAAAAAAACAGAAATTCACTTGAATTGCTTTGAAGAAAAGCTTTAAGCTGCTCTTGAACATCTAAATATTTATTTACGTCCGTCACTGTAAACTATCCATTAATCTATGCTGCTGTGACAGAACTTTCACATGACTTGTGTCAATGTTCCTCAATGCATTGAACTCTATAGAGACTGCAAGACATTAAAAACACTGACATTTGGTTTTTCTGTGATCTATATTGCAGTATAAAAAAACAGGAATTCACAAGATGACTTGAATAGCTATATAAGTGCAATTAAGTTTTACTCTGACTTTTTTGAGATTTTTGTTTAGTCATTTTAAATGTTCCATATAATACATATACTCTTTATATACATGTATACTATTTACAAGAAACAACTTCAAACTATTTACTTCTTAATTTCTTCTTTTTCAAATGTAAAACCATCAAGCTTTTATTTTGGCAGTTTGTAGGCAAATAAATATATGCCCTGCCATTGTTCATTTGCATGCATGCAGCTTATGATTACATTTTTATATGTATTATTTAATTACGTTGCCCCTCGCATTCAACCATATCACGATATGGATGTTATTTCTATATATTATTGTGTAGCCCTACTATGGAGCAAAACGGTAAGCTACTGTATAGCACCCAAAACTGACCAATCAGATCAGCCCAGAGGCAGAATAACCATATTTGTATTGAGTTTATATCAGCAACAATGTGTGGGAGTAAATAAGCCTATGAGCGCATCTCCTGTTCATTCCCGATGTGCCCCTTCTAGCAGTTAAATGCTTACAGTGTGAATGGCCCATAAACAACGTACACATGCTGTTTTTAGAATTCAACTAACAACGTCACAAAACCAACGTTCTCTGACACCATCTGCAATCTTTTTTCTGTGGAGATCTAAGCAGCGAATGACGTTTGTGTTGGGAGATGCGCTGAAGCCCCGCTTCATGTGAAAGGGCCTTGAGATGTCTCTCTGGAATCAATCAAGCGGGCCAGAGAAACATGAACTTGGAGAGGTTTGTGTCCACAAATATTAGTCCAAGTGGTTACATAAAACCACAATTTGTTGTTCTTTCTAGCTTCAATATCAGCTGCTGCCAGGAAAGGGTCAGTGGGACAAAACTTGAGACCACTTACCATCCTCTCAAGACTTTAAGAAACGGACAAATACTGCTTAAGAAAGAATCTATCGATGGTTTTGATAGCATTGTTGCATTATTATCTTTAAATAAGTACTATCATTGCTTTGGCCTGTCTGACCACTTGTATAGGATGATGGGAAAGCTGTTTATTTTATTTTTTGTCCCTCAGATTGGTTGCGTCTACAATGATGCATTGAAAGTTAGTGCAAATGTTTCCAGCTGTTGGAAGGGGACAAAAAATGATGATTGTTCCCAGGCTTCTACACAAGATGAAGTCATTAAAAACACTAATTTCAAAGTTTAAATACTATGTAAAGGATGTTATGTAAAGGATGCATCATGTGAAAGAATGTGTGGGTAAAGTTACTCTGAACAAGGTATCACCGGTGTAACTGATGCTGGTGACAAATGTCTTTCAGAAGAACAATCATCCAGACAGCTGGACAGTAGGCAGTGACATTATTGCTCTGCGTTCTTCCACCTCCTTTGAACATGGCAGACAATAGGCTCATGCTCTGAATGATTTAGGCGACTTTAATAATTCAGTGTTTCCCTGAGCTAATTAGATAAGTGCCAGAGGTTTAAGGTCTTGTGAAGGCCTCAGGGGACATGTGGAGGAATGAGCCGTGTGAAATACAATCTCACTATTGTAGCTGCTTTAGAGGAACATTTCATTGTATATTTACACATTTGATTCAGTTCATCAAATTGGACAAATTGCTGGGGCCTGATAATAATTACTTGAAAATGATTTCACAATCTCAATTTAAATAAATACTCTAATCTGAATACAATAAATATACTGAACAGCCAAGCTTCTTGGAATGTGCTTTGTTGTTTGGTAAATGATATGGTAAGTCATAGTTTTTACTTCCAAAAACCATTCATTTGACAATATTTTTACAGTAAAATGACATAGTATGTGATTTTAAACCATACATTTTTTAATATATGGTAAGATAGAGTAAACTAGCTCCCTTTTTTTTTTACTTACATTTTTGTACAGTACACATCTCCCACATTTGTTAATACACTTTATCAAAGCACAAAATGTATTTATTTAGTGTTGATGCACTGATATTACAATTCTGGTTAAATATAATTATTACTAGGGATGCACCGAAATGAAAATTCTGGGTGTACTTGGCCGAAAACCGAAACCGAACCCGAAAATGCTTTGTAATGATTCTTTATTATTTTATTAAATAATATAAAGTAATTTTGTAAGACTTTTTTTTACTCAATTTTAATGATATGAATTTTAAAAAACACAAGCCAATAAAATAACCACACTTTTACTGAAAGTAACACAATAAAACTGGACAGAATTTATATTAATATTGGTAACACTTAATAAGGTTCATTAGTTAACATTAGTTAACTACATTAGTTAACGAACTAAGAATGAACAATAGTTCTTTGGCATTTATTAATCTTAGTTCATGTTAATTTCAACATTTACTAATGCATTATTAAAATCAACAGTTGTGCTTGTTAACAGTTAATGCACTCTGAATTAACATGAACTAACAGTGAACAACTGTATTCTCATTAACTAACATTAAGAAAGATTAATAAATACTGTATTCAATGTATTGTTCATTGTTCGTTCATGTTAGTTAATACATTAACTGACATTAACTAATGGAACCTTATTGTAAAGTGTTACCTTAATATTAAATATCAATATATTATTTTTATTCACTTCTATGTAACAGAATCAGATATAAGTTGTTGGGGGGGGGGGGGGACTTTTTGAGCAGACTTTGCTTTTCCGGTGAGCATGAGCGGTACACGAGCGGAACGTACATTCATAGAGCGGAATTTTTTTGTTTTTCTCTTTCGGCCGAAAACCGAAAATGCCATTTTCAGCAAAGGCGAAGAGTGGTTAGAATGGTCACAGACAAACCACAGGCCACTGCCAAAGAGCTCCAAGAACATCTTGCTGCTGATAATGTCATTGTACAGTGTTCCACCACATTCCACACACTTTGCACAAGGAACAGCTCGATGGAAGGCTGATGCAGAAATAGCCTTTTCTGCGGACTGCCAACAAGCAGAGTCCTTTTGAGGTATGCAAAGGCTCATCTGGAAAAGCCTGAATTATTTTAGAATAATTTGTTGTGGACAGATGACTCGGTAAGATAGTTATTTGGTCATAACCAGAGGCACTTTGCATAGCGTAAAAAGAAAACGGCGTTCCAGAAGAAGAACCTGCTCCCCACTGTAAAATTTGGTGGAGGATCCATCATGCTGTGGGGCTGTGATAAGCCCAGGTACTGAAAACTTTGTCAGTGTGGAGGGTTGCATAGATTCCATCCAGTATCAGCAGATTCTCAAGAACAATGTTCAAGAATCAGTCAAGAGGTTGAAGTTACACCGGGGTTGGTTGTTTCAGCAGGACAATGACCCAAAGTATTGTTCCAAATCTACCAAGGAATTCATGCACAGACACAGATACAATGTTCTTGAATGGCCATCCCAGTCGCCAGACTTGGAACATCACTGAAAATCTATGGAATGATTTGAAGCGGGCTGTCCACGCTTGGCAGCCATCAAACCTGACTGAACTGGAGAAATTTTGCAAGGAAGAACGGTCCAAAATATCTGCAGCAATGTTTCATGGACTTATCAGTGGCTATAAGACGTGTCTACAGGCTGTTATTTCAGCAAAAGGTGGATCTACAAAATATTGATGTGATTATTTCATTGGGGTGCCCAAATTTTTGCACCTGTGTGTTTTTGTTATGATTCACATTGCATTGTTTCTGTTGATTCAATACATTTCAGAACTGAAATGTTACTGTTTCCATAAGGTATAAATTATTTCCAAATGAAGTTGCTGCTACGAAAGCCCAGCAGATTATAAATTGAAATTATGATAATTATCAGGAGTGCCCAAACTTTCGCATAAAACTGTACATATACATATTACACACACACAGAAAGTTACAGCATTTCCTTCCAGAGACCTCTCTAAATGCTCTGGCCTTTTCTACCAAGTTCAAGGTCAGGTCTCCAGACGTCATTTTCTACAAGGAGAGCCTCCTCACAGGAAAGCTGTCAACTCTGCCTCACCCCTCCACCTCCACAGCCAGAGCTGCAGGAGGAGAACCACAAACACAAGCAGATATCCCTCTTATCTAATGCACTGAAGCCTCTAACATAAACACAATGTGTTGTTTCACAGCACTGCTGGCAAAAACCAAGAGGTCTTAAGCTTCCTAACAGAAATAGGAAGCTCAGAAGTGAATTTTTATCTAAGGGAACAGAGACACTTAGTGAAGAAACATTTTTATCATCACAGAGAACAAGAACTGTCTTGCATAAACACATCCTCTTTCGTGAAACATTGTCTTTATCTGCACGGCTTTTGCATGTGCCTGACTGAAGCTGATATATCACATGTAAAGATAATTGTGTTAAAAGAATTTTACACTATTATGAGACTGGAAGCATAGACGATTTATCATGCAAGATTACACAAATACAATTGTACACAGCAAAAAACAACAATAATGATACAATACATTGTGTACATGAGAACATGACAATGTACAGTAAGCCAGACTACTACATCTAGAATGGGATCAGGACCAGATTCAGTTCTGTTCACATACTAATGTCTAACTGTATCAGTGGTCTCGCCTGAGGTTTTGTGAGATAACTAACTATTAAAAATATGAAATCCGTCTGACACCACTGACAGAAATCCAACAAAACATTTTCTCAGCAGAACTTAACAAAGGTAAACAAAAGACAATGGTGAAAACAGAAAGCTGACTGACCTATAAATGAACTAACCACTATAATTGACTGTTTATGCCATATCAAAATACTCTGTCTTCACTTTAGGAAGATCTAAAAATCAGCCTGTCATCAAGACATTGTATATGAATTAATCAATGAAGCCAATTAGGATCACTGCTTTTTACTTGCCTGTGAAAGAGGAAGTAAAACGAAAGTCTGCAAATGTGTCTCATCTCATGAGAATATAATGACTAAGCTCATGAGAAAGACCTCTGCAAGTGATCCAATCTGAGAAAACTTTGCCTACAAATCCACAGACTGACAGCTATGCATAAACTCAAACAAAAGCAGAGCGTGTAAGTTTCTTCATAAAGTCAACTGCCCCCTCTATTCTGAACAGAAATATCATATCATGCTCTAAAAACATCAAGAGGTGAATAGGTGGAGCGCTGATCTTACTCAGCTGTTTCCCATGCAACATCAACATGTCACAAGTTGTGAGAAACACTGAAGTTGAGTAATGAATTCAAGCATAGGCCTTTCGCCCACGCGCCAGAAATAGAATCATGTTTTATGCTATCACAAAGATGGGACATTTTGCTCTATTTTTAAGAACATGTCAGGTATAACACCTGTAAACCTTGTCAGGTATAACACCTGTAAACCTTATGTTTAAATGAAGGCAAAACATTACTGTTATTTCTGACCAGCGTTGGGGAGTAAAGTTTAAAGTAGCGACGCTACTAATTTACCTAATCTCGCGTAGCGTAACAATTGTTCCGATGTTTTCAAAACAATATGTGTATTTTCCAGTGACCGGTGTTGTGTAATATTCGGTTCCCGTGAAAAACTGTTCCAATGGGCGGGGTTAGTACGAATATTCATAGATTCGTTCCGCGGTGGGCGTGGCCTTTTGAACTACAAACAAGCGAATGGAAAGGATTGTTTTGTCTGTTCTTCAGCTCTTGTGTGATGAATTATTTTGAAAAGGTAATAAAGCCGAATGTTCATACGCCCCGTTTAGATGTACAGCTGTTTATGTTATTCACATAGGCTAAAATGCTTATTGTTTCGCATGTGCTTTTATCAGAACGCTTTATCATGGCCATATGACAATGTTTTGCTGTGTAGCTTACGTGGATGATACTAAACACCAAACACAGCACGAATCGAACACATTTCTGTCGTTCCTCGTTTTTGTCGTTTATTTTCAAGCTGTAAACTGTGTCCCTAGTTGCTGTGTATTTTGCTGCATCATAACTTTCACAACTTTTCATAACTTTCAGTGACTGCAATTAAACTCAAATGTCGTTAGATGCATGTTCAAATAAAGATTTTTTAATGTTATCTGGTGTTGTTTTGTTGCCTTTTTTCGTGTTTTCTTTTTTTTTTTGGTCAAGAGCCTTGTAACAATTCAAAAAATAAATTATTAGCAACTGAAACATGTTGTTTATTGGTGTTTTCTGAGGTGTGTGTGTGTGTGTGTGTTTAGTATACATACAAAATGACTTTTTTTCCCCCTTTTGGTCTATCTTCTCTTAAATTGCATTTTAGCTCTCAGAAGAAACACCCATAAACAACATGTCTCAGTTGCTAATTATTTATTTTTTTAATTGTTACAAGGCTCTTGACAAAAAAAAACAAAAAAAAAGGCAACAAAACAACACCAGATAACATAAAAAAAAATCTTTATTTGAACATGTGTCTCTCGCGACATTTGAGTAATTGCAGTCACTGAAAGTTATGAAAAGTTGTGAAAGTTATGATGCAGCAAAATACACAGCAACTAGGGACACAGTTTACAGCTTGAAAATAAAAAAAATCTTTATTTGAACATGCATCTAACGACATTTGAGTTTAATTGCAGTCACTGAAAGTTATGAAAAGTTGTGAAAGTTATGATGCAGCAAAATACACAGCAACTAGGGACACAGCTTACAGCTTGAAAATAAACGACAAAAACAACGAGGAACGAAAGAAATGTGTTCGATTCGTGCTGTGTTTGGTGTTTAGTATCATCCACGTAAGCTACACAGCAAAACATTGTCATATGGCCATGATAAAGCGTTCTGATAAAAGCACATGCGAAACAATAAGCATTTTAGCCTATGTGAATAACATAAACAGCTGTACATCTAAACGGGGCGTATGAACATTCGGCTTTATTACCTTTTCAAAATAATTCATCACACAAGAGCTGAAGAACAGACAACACAATCCTTTCCATTCGCTTGTTTGTAGTTCAAAAGGCCACGCCCACCGCGGAACGAATCTATGAATATTCGTACTATCCCCGCCCATTGGAACAGTTTTTCACGGGAACCGAATATTACACAACACCGGATTCTTATTCCATCGCGGTACAGCGTGACAAAACGCGACATCACTATGTTTTTAATGTATTTTATTGTCTTTGTGCTTTTACAGCAACGCTAACTAACGTAATCAAATACGCTCTTCTCTCTCTCATTTGTGAAGTCCGATTCATTTTTTTGATTCGGATCGACTCGATTCACAGATTAAATAAGCAGAAAAAGGTTTCCAAAACTTTTTCAGGCGGCAGGCCCACCCAATCAGTTTTTTTTGTTGTTGTTTTTTTTTTGTACAGTAAAATACCAGATATAAAAAAAATATTGGATCTTTTTTTTTTGTTTTAGTTTGTATTATTTTTCATGTGACATTGTTCACATTGATTCAATGTTTTCTATAAGTTATAGTTGATTCAGTAGCCGCTCTGACTTCGGTGAGTTCATCAGACTGATTCAAACCGTTTTTGAGTCTTTTGAATGATTCGATTAATCGGTTCATATGAGTCTTTTTTTTTTTTTTACATTGTCCCATTATATAGTTAGCTACTGTCTGTTAGAGATTGCAAAAAGGTTTAGAAAACACTAATAAGGATTGGTGTGGAGGAAAAAAAATGGAGCCTGACCAAATGCTGAAATATATGATCCACTCAAAAAAAACAAACAAAAAAAACAATTAGACAGCCTACGTAAACTTTCTTCCCTTCTGGTACCCTCTTATTGTATTGGATATCTTCTTAAACCATGAAAGTGCTCTTCATGTTGCGTTTCAGTGGGCGAAATCACGTCTTTGAAATTCATCAGTGGTAACATGCAGACGGTTTCTGCAGCAATTCTGCAAACACATGAATACCAGCCACCCTCCCACATACACCAGCACTGTTATACAATCCAAACTACAAAGGTATTCTCAAAAGGAACATGCTGTCAGTTGATTTACCTCTGTAGGGGTAAGATATCTGAAGTTGATAGTTTCATTGAAGTGAACAGAGATAGGCTGAGACCTTGAAACTGATGAAACTGGCCAATATACACTACTACTATACTATTATACAATACAATATACACTACTACTATAAATGTAACATACCAACATCCAATAAAACAAAACAACTATTTATTTACATAGGCTACGGGCTGTTTTGATGCTCTCCAGAATTTGACAATTGCCATAGAAATGCCGTAGTCAAGGAAACTGGCTTTAAAGTGACCATTTACTAGGTCCTTTCATCTTTAGGTTATTTAGGTGACTAATAAGTAAGCAAGTACACACAGATGAATAAAATAGTTCACCACTGAACCTTTCTTCATTTTCTTTTTCTGAATGGAGTGCATATTAAATACATTAGCAGAATCATCACATGGTAAATAATTAAAGGGATAATTCACCCAAAAAATGAAAATTCTGTCATTAAAGGGGCCATTGATGCGATTTCAATTTTTCCTTTCTCTTTGGAGTGTTACAAGCTCTTGGTGCATAAAGAAGATCTGTAAAGTTGCAAAGACTAAAGTCTCAAATCCAAAGAGATATTCTTTGTAAAAGTTGAGTCAACCACACCTACCTAAAACGGCTCCTTCTAACATGCCCCCACATATCTACATCACGATGTGGGAAGATTTGCATAACGCCGCCCAAATGTTCACGCAAAGAAAGAAGGCGTAACTTTTATTCTCGCTGTAGTATTGTTGTTGCCATGTGTTTTGTTGTGAAAGCAAAACTACTTTGTTTGGCCTTCCTAAAGAGGACGATACAGCTTTGTCATGCCTGGAGGCTGTTCGTTGTGGTCGCTGAGGAAATACAT